TACAATCTGGGGGTGCCTACCACCGGCCACACTCCCCCCCCCTTCCCGTGCCCACGGGGATCTGACTGCGAACATCTCCCCAAGTGTAGGAACAGTCAGACTGCTCTCCTACCCTTCCCCATGGGGATCTGACTATGAGCAATTGCCCCTGGGTGTAGGAACAGTCAGACTTCTCTCCTACCCTTCCCCATGGAGATCTGACTATGAGCAATTGCCCCTGGGTGTAGGAACAGTCAGACTTCTCTCCTACCCTTCCCCATGGGGATCTGACTGTGAGCAACTGCCCGAGTGTAGGAACAGTCAGGTGGACAGAACAGTCTGACTCCTGAGGGGCACCTGAAGGAAAGGGCTAGGCAGAGATGCAGGGCTCTGCCATTATACACATGGCGATTAGGCTGTTCCAGGCCAGGCTGGGTCCTCCCAGGACAGGAGTGGATTGGGTGGGACTCACCACTAGGGAGACGACAGGCGACTGGGTGAAGATCTCGGTGGCGTCACTCACCACTAAGTCCAGCCTGAAACACAGTGACCCAGACATCAGGAGAAATGGGAAACTGACCCAGGCCAGGGACTGAGCGCTGGGCAAACTGCTCACAGACAGCAAGCACCTCCGCAGCACTGGACGGCAGCCTCCTCGGAGAAGCCATGCAGCAGCTGGGTCAGCGGGCGTAGCAACGCGCCCCTGCCTGTCCCTGGCTAGGGAGCAGCTCTCTGCAGTGGCCTCCAGGCAGGAGGGGCATGGAGCAGACTAGCCCAAAGCTCCCCAGGTGCGGAGAGGCGCGTGCTTACCAGGGAGGCACGCTCTGCAGCTGGAGGGCCAGCAGGGCCAGCAGGTGCAGCGAGGCCTCACACGCTTGCACCCGCAGCCGCTCCGCCATCGGGACCTGCAAAGGGAGCAGAGCTCAGTGAGATCTGGGGCTGGGCAGGAGGCCAAGGCTGCTGGGAGGAGCCCCAGCGAAGCACTGGGCAGCACAGACCAGAGGCCAAGAGGCAGAGCTGGGACACTGGCTCCTCCCCAGATTCCCTCCCCCCCATACCCTGCCCCTGGCTCCCCCC